AAGTAGATTCTGGGTGCCCTGTGCAGAGAGTTGGATTTGATAGTCTCAAGGACCCTAGTCAATTTGTGAGACATTGAACTGCAGGCAACAAAGCAAAGACAGACAGAGAACATCAGAGAGGAACCAGCGGGTTGCAAAGAAACTGTGGGAGGAGAAGGAACAGGGAATGCAAGAGGAACTGAAAAAACTGAAGGAGTTCAGAGAGACTGAATATAGAAACTAGCAACTCCAGCAAAGTTCACAAAAAAAGGAGAGTGAAAGTTCAGGAATGAGAAACATAAAAGAGACCCCGGTGGGGGAAGGGAATAGAGAGAGAAAAAAGTAAAAAAAAAATTGAATCCCACCACTATTGTAGATGTTTCACTACCCACTAGGTAACATCATCAGTGTAGCAACCAATAGAAGAGAATCTCTATAGCTTAGGGTTGAACTGTGGGGTCTTTGATGCTCTTTGAGCCTAGGTGTTTTCTTGCAGACAATTCAGTACTGAACTAAGTCATGTCTTCAGAAGACATGACCTAATTGGGTCATGAAATGTCTGCAAGAAAACAGCCAAGCTCAGAAAGCACCAAAGACCTCACAGAAACAAGAAGAATGAACTTGCTGGACCAAGACTTAACTTTGTATAAATGTTTGCTATTTATTACTTCCTGGGTTTATATTTTGCTTCAGTCTCTGACAACTGAGTGACGTACATATCCTCAAATTAGGTCAAACCAAAATCAAAGTACATCTACTTATATATACTTCAAGAAAGTCGGTTACATTAGGCAAATGCTCCAAAGTAAACAAGATGAAAATGTGCCAGCTTGGTGGTTCTCTAAGACAATTTAAGATTTATGTTTTAAGGACACTGGCTCACTTTCCAATATTTGAGGGGCTGCCCCAGAGAGGAGGAAAGGGTCAACCTATTTTCCAAGGCACCTGAAGGCCAGACAAGGAATAATGGATGGAAACTGATCAAGGAGATATTCAGCCTGGAAATAAGGAGGAATTTTCTGACAGTGAGAGCAATCAACCGATAGGAACAGGAGTTGCCTTTGGAAGTTGTGGGAGTTTCATCACTGGAGGATTTCAATAAGAGACTGGATGGCTATCTTTCAGAAATGGTGTAGGGTGTCCTGCTTGGGTGGGGGGTTGGACTAGATGACCTACAAGGTCCCTTCCAACTCTGTTAACATTCTGTTAAGCTTTTCCTTCTGCTTTGCTTATATATTTATGAGTAATACAAATATCTCAGTTAACGTGCCTGCCATCTCTTTTCACGTGTTTACTTCTGAAATCCCATTGACTTCTGAATTTTCCACTGCTCTACTTTGCTGGCCCAATTTTGTTTTCAGTTTCCTTGAAAGCTTTAATAGAATAATCATTTTGTAGTAAAAGTGATGCAATTGTGGAATAACCCAAAGGCGAGTAAAAATGATTAGGTCAACTCTTTCCATTCTTTTAGCCACTGAGAGAGTTCAGCTCTTCATTTGGATCAGGGTTGTTAGAGAGAGAAAAGAGGAAATGACTTTTTCTCATCTGACTTTTTGAAAAGAAACACGAAGTTTGTGTCAGTTTTTTTTTTTTAAACCCACAGTCTGTTCCAATGTGGAGTCCTTCAATTTTGCTTGCTTAGAAAAAATGGGAGAATTTTGACCGCCTGTTTATTTTTTTAACAAGTGAATCAGGATAACATCAAGAAATATTTGACAAGTAGACCACATACCCTTTGCTTCTTGGAAGGTGATAAGTTACTAACATTATTTATACTTCTGATGAAGAGGGAAGTCATTGCTTCCTATATTTCTTTTCTTTTTCTTTAGTGTATGCATATTTTTCTGTTTTTCTTCTTACTCTGTTTTTCTTTTTTTGTCACATCTGTTTTCTTTTTTTGCCTTGAACTTTGCATTTTATCTATTTTTATTTATTAATTTCTATCCTGCCTTTACAGTAGGATACAAATTTAACCACTGAATCATTCTCCCCCTTCCACTATAGAACGATGCTGATCCAAATACATAGACCTGCACTCCTTCTATGTATTAAAGACCATTATAGCCGGGATCTCCACACTTGGCAAGTTTGCTGGCTGGGGAATTCTGGGAGTTGAAGTCCACAAGTCTTAAACTTGCCAAGTTTGAATACCCTTGCATTATAGTATCTCCAATTGGGGTAGACTGGAGGTGCTGCTCTTGTCTCTTTGGAGGAACCAAGGACCTTAAGTGTGGTTTGTACTATATATTGATCAGGAACCCACTTTAAAAACAGATACCAATTATAGGATATATTCCCAGCTCATTTCTGCCCTTCCTGAAAGGCAATGATGAGGTTTTAACTTGCAGAATTGCACACTTTTCCAGGTGCGTTGAAAGACAGCCAAGCGATTAGAGGTTGTGTGCAAGGAAACCTGGTTTGTATAAGACCACGATGACAACGTCAAGCCTCTGCAGCATCTGGATTGAGACCCAAGCTCCCAGAATGCCCTTTTATCTTCTCCTTCTCCTTCTCCAGCTCCCAGGTAATATAAAAACTACCTCCCTTTCTATGGAGCACAACACCTCAACTTCCCTTCCAAGAGACATCACTAGATGTTCCTCAGGGGAGACTTTGGGTGAGCAAGGCAGCTTTCTGTGACCTTCTTTCTTGCTTTATCCAACAGTGTGGGGGAAAGGAAACCCAGGTGGAGCAAGTGACGTGGAAAACGAAATTAGAAGAATAGAATCAAAATTGATAAAATTAGAAATGCCTCAGCGAAGTAGGGGTACCATACGTGAAGATCCCTTTTTGTGAGTATACATGGGCTCACGGCTGTCTGTACTGGTGAAGAAAGGAGAGCTGGGCCATTGATTCCTCACAGCTCCAAAACAGAATGTGCTTGCTTTGTCACTGTTTCATCACTTCAATCTACATTCCCCTAGGTTAGAACCTAGTCGAGTCTCTAAGGCAGGGATTCTTAACCTCAGCAGCTTCAGGAAGAGTAGGCTTCAATTCCCAGAATTCCCCAGCCAGCTTGGGAATTGAAGTCTATTCTTCTTGAAGTTTCTGAGGTTAAGAAATATTAAGCAAAAAACAGCTGACCTCACTAGTGCTGACACAGAGGGCAGTTTTCGAGTTCTGTGCACTCATGATAGAACTGGTAGGAAAAAAATTGGGAACCCACCACTGACCAGTTTGGTCTAGTGGTGAAAGCACCAGGCTACAAAACAGGACATGGTAAGTTCTACTCCTGCCGTAGGCATGAAAGCCAGCTGGGTGACTTTGAGATGATCGCCAGGAGACTGAGTTGTAGTCCTCCTTTAGGCATGAAAGCCAGTTGAGTGTCTGGGTCAACACCAGGAGACAGTGAGTTCTAGTCCTGCTTTAGGCATGAAAGCCAGTTGAGTGTCTGGGTCAACACCAGGAGACAGTGAGTTCTAGTCCAACCTTAGGCATGAAAGCCAG